TTCTTTTATAAGAATTGGTAAATGAATATATTGGAGGAGTGGGTTGCACGCCGCAACAGAATTGATTAAAATGAATATATTGGGAGATCGGGATGTATGCTGCAACAGACTTATTTAAAAGTCCATATTGGGGTATTGGGTTGTACGCCGCAACAGACTTATTTAAAAGTCCATATTGGGGGATCGGGTTGCACGCCGCAACAAACTTATTTAAAAGTCCATATTGGGAGATCGGGTTGCATGCCGCAACAGACTTATTTAAAAGTCCATATTGGGGGATCGGGTTACGCCACAACAGACTTATTTAAAAGTCTATATTGGAGGAGTGGGTTGTACACCGCAACAGAATTGAATATGAATATATTGTGGGAGCGAGTTGCACGCTACAACGGAAATTGATTGAAATAACAATTGGTTGTGACTGCTGAGTTGGCTTCAACTATTAAAATAAGCTACCTGATTTATTTCTATTATTGTGGTTATTACTATTATTGTGTATAGGTTAATGTAAGTGACCTGCCTTAGCCTCGTCACTACTTCGTCGAGGTTAGGCTCGGCACTTACCAGTACATGGGGTCGGTTGTACTGATACTACACTCTGCACTTCTTGTGCAGATTTCAGAGTTGGTCCTAGCGGCATACCATAGACTTGCTCGGATTTCAGCTACTCAGAGGAGACTTGAGGTATAACTACACAGCGTCCGTAGTTCTGAAGTCCCCGTCTACCTTACTTTAGCTGTGTGTTTGCTTCCAGACAACTTTATTTTATTTAGACCTTTATTTATATTATTCTAGATGCTCGTGCACTTGTGACACCAATTCTGGAATGGTATTTAGACATCACTATTATTATGGATTATTCACTACATTTCAGACTTTACTTCCGCATTTGTTTCTTTGTTATTAATTAATTTAAAATTGATTAAAAATAGCTAATATTATTCTAACGTTGGCTTGCCTAGCAAGTGAAATGTTAGGCGCCATCACGGTCCCGAAGGTGGAAATTTCGGGTCGTGACACCATATTACCTTTACCATTAACAGAGTTTCAGCATGAAATGAATTACTTTACATGTCCAAATTCTATGAGTTTAAAGTACCCCTAAATTATTGACTATGATATATAATTACTCTAGGTGCAGCGTCATTAGGGTTTAAGAGCTTCACTAATAAGAGATCGTTTGGTAGGAGGTATAACAATAATCTTAAATATGGTGTATTAGCAATGCTGATATTAGTAATGCTAGGATTAGTTATGCTAAGATTATTTTTTATCTACTGTTTGGTTTGGTGTATTAAAAATATTGCATAATTTCTAAAAAAAGGTTGGTCGTTTACAAAAATACCCTCCACATTCTTTAACTTGGTACACTTTGAGAGATTTGAGGGGCAATAATATTTTTAACTATGCTTATGCAAGTATTAATAACCTTTGCATTGCTAATATCATAATTTTCTATATAATAGTTATACATAGGATAATGCAAAATAGGATGTACACCTAATACAAGTATTAGTTATACATAAGTTGTAATGCACAAAGCTAATACTTGCATTATTTTTTCTAAAACCTCCTACCAAATGATCCCTAAGACTTTTTACTAATTGGGGATGGGAAGGGGGAGGGGGGGAGGGGGGATAATGTTAGACCAAAATTTTGAGGAAGACAAAATTGCTCAATCTTGAACGGTACTAGGGCAAATTTTACCCATGTCCCTTCTATACCTTTTGCTAGCATATAAATCTTAGATACAGGGAGTTATCAGAAATTGACTAATTTTACGTTGATTGTCAAATTACCGCACGCGTCCTTTATTTGAGCGGCGTGTGAGCAAGCTCACACATGTGGAGGTTTCCAACTATGTAGGAGCATATTATAATCTTTCAAACAATGTAAAAGAACCATAGAATGATCGTGAGAGTATGTCAATGGTAATCCCTTAAATCAAGATGAAACGACTGTTATTTTGTGTAGAGAAATTGTCATCCTAAACAACTGTTAGTTATCTCAAATCCCATATGGTTACATTGTGGATGCTGCTGAACCACGTTAAATATTTGTGTCTATTTTGGTATCTTCTCTTTTATTGTCTGATGTATCGTCGTTCAAAGTTTGCTTTACTAGCTTCCGCGAGACATTGATTTCTTTAGGTCCTAACACGATGGACACCATCCATATCATACCAATCGTTGACATAGTGCGTCAGAAAAATAGAAATGAAGTTGAAAGAGAGCTTTGAAGCGTGAAAACTAATTCTCCTTAAGGAATATTGGATGTGTACTATTTAGGAGAAAACAAACAAGTTTCTTAGGATACGATAAAGCCAAAACGTCTACTGCAAATAGATGAGCCACATTCGAGCAAGGCATAATTTACTAATTCTCTTTAAGGAATATTAAATAATATGTCACTTATGTATGACATGTATATTAAATAATATGTCACTCACTTATTCAAGCACACTTTATGTCCCAATAACCAGTAAAAAATTCTCTAACAAGTAGCATAATATTTAAGCTAATCTTCTTGTGTTTGAAGCAAATACACTAAGAGAAAGGGCTTGAAGTTTGAGAAATGAGGCAGGAAAACAGCACCTTTCAGAACTTCAGAACTTGAGTTTTTGGTGAGACTGTGGTGAGCTTGTTTTGCAAACCAAGATATATTCAATATTTCATAGACACCAAAATATCTTAAACCATGACGAAGCTACACATGGAGACATTCATAGTCTAAAATAAAGAAACAAAAAAATTACAGCCGCAAACAGATTTCTACGTCTTCAAAAGAAATCAGTTTCCTCCATCTTCTAAGTTAGTTTACAAGGATGATACATATAGTACGATCCTTTTTGAATTCCATTGACAATTAGTCAAAGGACCAATGAACTTTTCTCTGACAATATTATTGTTCTATGAAAATCTGAAGTCCCAATAAGCATCTAGTACTCTTGGATCATAGATAAACTTCCAAATATATTCTTAAATAATTCGAATATAATGTTGACTGTTCATCTATAGTATATCCTACATCAGGTTAGAACAAGTTTTACTTTAATTTCAGGAAAACTAAAATTATTTATACTATATGGTTCAGGGACAGAAAGATGGGGTTGATCTTATCAGCTCTAGTGTTCCATTTATGGTTGATGTAACTATGGCCTAAAAACTATTAAAAAAGATTGTTTCCAAAGCAATTTTCTCAGTTACAGGCAATTGTTATTGATCTCAAAAAGATGGTAAATGATAATAGATGAAGATAACCAAATAGCACTGAAAATGATATTCCGAAACTTAAGAAGACTACACAAGGAAACTCACTATTATCTCTTTTCTTTTTATCGGCATGCTCATCATTATTTCTCTTACCAAGAGTGCAATAACCTTTGATTTCTAAGATAAAGAAAGTCGAAAAACAATCGAAATATCAAAATTGATGTACCTCCTTAATAGGTCTGCCTGGAAGGCTCAAGCAGCAGCAACAACAACAACAACAACAATAACTCAGTATAATCACATTAGTGGGGTTTGGGGAGGGTAGAATGTATGCAGACCTTACCCCTACCCAGAAACGGATCCAGAATTTAAATTCTATGGGTTCAACGTTTAAGGTTCTTAGCATTGAACCCATTATATTTTTGAAACCATGGGTTCAATCTACTATTTATTGTAATTTTAATGAATTTTTACACATTAATTTATACTACGCGTCAAAAGCTATAGGTTCAATTGAACCCATCACTGGAGTGTTGCATATGCCCCTGCCCCTACCCTGGGGTAGAGAGACTGTTTCCGATAGACCCACCTTGCTCTTGGGGTGACTCGAACTCACAACCTCTTGGTTGAAAGTGGAAGGCTCAAGCAAGCGAAAGAAATATTCACTTCCTATTTTTCAAGTGAAGCTCTGGTATCATGTCAAGCACAGAAGGATTTTCCCTTGTACCATTTACCAGTAATTCAGTTGTAGCTGCATCAAATGAGAAGCTCTTTCCAGTCATTTCCTTCATAATTGATATTTCACTAATTCTTCTACACCTGAGAAATCCTTGCACAATAAAATTGTAAGTGACGTCGTTTGGCAAACAATTGTTGTCCTCCATTTTTCTCAGCATATCTTTAGCTTCACCAAATAATCCTTCACGACAAAATCCATTTATCATTATATTGTATGTTCTCGCATTTGGAAGTAATCAAATTAAAGAAAGCTTCTCAAAAATAGCATGAGCTTGTCAAGTTTACCATTTTTGCACAATCCATTAATGACAACATTGTAAAATATAATATCAATATCTCCCCTTTTTCTTTCCAACTCATGAAATAGTGACATAGCTTTCTGAACAACTCCATTCTGAAAATAACCATGGAGCAAAATGCAATTAGTGCATAAATTAGGTTTGAGCCATGTAGATAGCATCTCAGCAAAGAATTTTTGTGCAAAGTCAATTCTTCCAGCTTCAAATAGGCATTGCAAGATAGTACTGAAGATAACAATGTTAGGTTCCAATCCAGAAATTTCATGAAACAAATGCATGGCCTCATTCAATTTCTTTTTCTTACGGTATCCATTTATTAATGTACTATAGCTAATAATGTTAGGCTTAATGCTCTTATCTATCAACAACAACAATAACAACAACATATCCAGTATTATCCTACACAATGGGGTCTGGGAGGAGGGTAGTGTGTAGGCAAACCTTACCCTACCTTGTAAGTAGAGGTTGTTTCCAATAGACATAAAAAGAGAGAATATGAGCAGTTAAAGAAAAAAAGAGAGTATACCCTGGTACGTCCATAAAAGTACCACTTAGCTTCCATAAACACTTTAATGTTCCAGAAACTAAAATATAAAAATACTTCAAAGACCCAGGATGGTAGCTATAGACTATAGTTATCCTTGATTCCGCCACTGGCTATAGTTATCCTTGATTCGTTTTAGCCTTTGTGTTTAAGACACGATAACGTAAGTAACATGCCTCTACTGTAATACATGATTAGCTACACTTCTCAATGGGGAACTCCAAACTGCACAGCAAACCCCTTATCTTCACCAATAGGAAGCACAATAGTACCCATGGGGAAGACCTCGTCCGGAATGGATTTGTACACTCTGACCTTGTTGCAAAGGAGGTTACTTTTGGTTTCCGCATCTTCCTCGTCCTCTTCATCTGCAAATGCATGAATACTTAGTTGCATCAGAACCAGTAATAATTAAGGGTGGCAAGTGGGCCGATCCGTGACCGGGATCGCGGTTCAAACGGGCTTAACAGGCCACGCCTGTTAGATGTGGGTCTGGCCGGTCTCGTGGTCCAGTTCTTGGCTTAGAACCGTTAGGACCGGGACCGTTTGGCCAGCCAAGGGACCGGTCCGGTAATGTTTTTTTTTAAAAAGAGCCGTTTGAAAAATTTAAAAAACAAACGTTGGGCTGTCAAAAATAGTAGTAAATAGCCATTTAACCCCTAACTTTGTTTTAACCCAAACTTTTATAATTACACGTTTTCCCTATTTTCAACTATAAATACCTCCTCATTCTTTCATTTTTTCTTACAAAATCAATATCAATCTATCACAATCTCTCTCTAATTTTCTTCTATACTTGCTACTATTGCTTACTATTGTTACACGTTGTGAAAAAATTATGAAATTGGTGAATTGAAGTATTCTTCAACGATAATTAATTTTCAACAAGTTGTTCGTCAATTCGGTAAACTCGTTCCAACTCTTAAGTCTTAATATTATAGTTTTTGTTTGTTTTATTTATTTGCTATTACTTGATTAATTAAGATGACTTCCTTAAAAAAATTATTTTTTCAAAAATAAGAATAAGGGAAAATCCAAGAGTGGCGAATCGAGTGGTACTGTCCAAGAGAAAGAAAGGTTCCTAAACCTTGTCAAACTAGATAGAATTACATATATGAAAGTTTGGTTGTTGCATATGAATATAGAAATCCCATAAACTCAACGTTTAATGCACATGTATGTGATGATGATGAGCACCTTACGAATGAGGATTGGGCTAATGTTAAAATGCTTGTTGATTTTTTAGAAAAATTTCATATTGCTACAAATGAATTTTTTGGGCAATATTATCCTACTATTTCTAACTGTTTAGTTTATATTGCAGAACTTGTAAATTTGTTTACTCATTTTTCAGAGGGTGGAGAAATTTATAAACTTGCTATTGATTTTATGAGAAAAAAGTTTAAATTTTTTTTTTCCTTATTCTCCCTATTTATGGTGTTGCTGCTTTGTTAAATCCTTGTATGAAATTAGGAGGTCCTCAATTTTGGTATGAAACTGTTTATAATGGTTTAGCACTTGAAGATGTGAGTTGGCTGGACTTCCGGAAACAATAGCCTCAATTAGAATAAATGCTGAAACTATTTATAATGCTTATCAAGTTGCATTAAATCATTCTAGACCAAATATTCCAACTCCTTCTTCTTCTGATTCTCAATCATCTAAAAGAACTGCGGAAGTAAGAGCACTTAGTGCTTGGGGGTTCTCAAGGTTCTAGTAGTAATAATTTTTCACAACTAAATGAGCTTGAAGTTTATCTGTCGCAGCAAATTGAGGAAGTGAATTCCGATGACTCCTTTAATCTTTTGAAATAGTGGAAGGACAAAGAAAAATACTTTCTGGTTCTTTCAAGGATGGCCCGAGACATTTTAACTATTCAAGATTCAATAGTGGCATCGGAGAGCGCTTTCACTCAAGCAAGACTTCAACTCAGTGATTATAGAACAACTATGAGGGAGAGCTTGGAAAAATCAGTACTTTTCAGAGATTGGATCCATTCGGGAAGAAGAAATTTTGAGCTTGCTGAATCACAACCAGAGGAAGACGAAACTTACGAAGAACTGCTAGTTGAACTTGCGGAGGATGTTACTTCGCCCGACAATGGAAGCGGTGATGACCAAGCTACTTTTCCGCCACCACCAACGGAAATTCCTCTGAACCTTGAAGGATTTATGAAGTTTGTAAGAGATACCATGTAACTTATATGCACAAAAATTAGTATGTATTATGTAACTTATATTTTGACGCATCTTGATTAGCTTCTTTTTCTTCTGAATGGTGGTGTTAGCACATTGTTGTACTCATTACATAGGGGGGAGGAAGACTAAGAAAGATATTGCCATGTTTTTTTTTAACGCTATAATAAAATTATAAGGCTTTGCTTTGAATATCTCTTTACAATATTTTTGTCTTTAAATTTTGAATTAAAAAGTTTAGGTCACAATTCTATAATAAAATTTACAAGGCATTGCCTTAGATATTTTTTTTATATCTTTTTGTCTCTAATTTCAATTCTAATTTTTTTTTTTAAGGAAAATTAATATTTTAGCCATTAGGCCCACTTAGCTCATTTAGCCCACGGGCCCGGCCCGTTTAGCCCAGGATCATGAGTTCGTGAGCCTGATCCCCATGCCGGTTCCTAGAAAAAGACTGTTTAGCCCGGGCCCGTGTGACCCGTTTAGTTAAGGACCGGACCGGGACCGTTTGGACTGGCCCATTTGGCCCGTTTAGGGCCCGGACCGGCCTACATAAGCCAATCACATTAGTCGGAATGAGTACATAGTAAAAACAAAGGATCATGACCTACTTTGCATCATAAGCAGGGGCGAAGCCAACATTGTCCTACTGACCACCCTTTGTCGAAAACTTATACTGTGCATTGGTAAAATATTAGGTTTTAGAGGTATATAACATATATTGCACGCCTTTTGTCGGAATTATTTTTTCACTTCTTCCAAGTTTGAACACCCTTGGAGAAACTCCTGACTTCGCCACTGATCATAAGTGACAATATGTCGATAGAACTTTTCATGACCTACTTTCATGTACACACAAAGGATCAACATAATTCATTAGTTTTAAATAGCTAAGCAGTTGGTAAATTTGCAGTGTGAACTACCCTAATTGGTGTTCTTATTTTCAGATTGAAACCAGATGTATTATCTTTACCTACTCTATATATACATGTGTCTAAAGAAACTCACATCATTTCTCGTATTAAGAGTGCAATAAAACATGATTTTCAAGATAAAGTAGAAGGGCATAACAATCAAATTATTAGAACTGATCTACCTACTCAACAAGGTTGCTTGGAAAGCTTAAGCAATGTTCTAACTGTCATTATTTCAACTTCCGCAATTCCATTGATCTGATTACTATCTATAGGTAAAAGGAAATTGCATCTAAGTGAAAAGTATACCTGAATAAATCAAGTGAAATAAATCACTTCTTATTTCCCAAGTGAAATTGTGGTATCATGTCAAGCAAAGAAGGATGCCTCGCTATAACATCTATTAGTAACTTTACTGTACTTGCATCAAATGAGAAGCCCCTTTCATTCATTTCCTTTAAAAAGGTTGTCATTTCAGTAAATTTGCTAAACTTGAAAAAACCTTGCACAATAATATTGTAAGTGGGCATTATCCGGCGAACAACCATTCTCCTCCATTATTCTTAGCATATCTTTAGCTTCATCAAACAACCCTTCTAGACATAATTCATTTATAATTGTATTGTGTGTAATCACATTGGGAAACAATCCAATTAAAGAAATCTTCTCAAAAATAGCATGAGCTTTGTCGAGCCGGCCATGTTTGCACAATCCATCAATTAAAACATTATAAAGTTCAATATCAGTATCTTCTCTCTTTACTTCCAACTCATGAAATAGCGATATAGCTTTCTCAAGAAGCCCATTCTGGAAATAACCACCGAGCAAAATGCGATTAGTGCATAAATCAGGCTTGAGCCCTATAGATAGCATCTCAGCAAAGAATTTCTGCGCAAAGTCAATTCTTCCAACTTCAAATAGACCTCGCAAGATAGTACTGTAGGTAACAATGCTAGGTTCCAATCCGTTTCGAGAAATTTCATGAAACAAATGCATAGCCTCATCCAATTTCTTTTTCTTACGGTATCCATTTATTAATATGTTATAGCTAATAATGGTGGGCTTAATGCTCTTATTAATCATGGAATCAAAAAGTCTCCTTGCTCTATCCAATTGACCGCGCAAGCAATATCCATCAATTATCACATTGTAGGTGACCATATTAGGCTCCACACCTTTTCCAATCATGTGTCTCATTACCTCCTCGGCATCTTCAACTTTCCCCTCTTTGCATATTTCATCGGTCACTATTGTCAAGGTTTGCACATTCGGATAAATATTAATATTTACCATTTCAGAGAACAAAGTCCTAACCTTCTCCCACTGACCAAATTTACAAAGACCATCAATCAATGAACTATATATGATAACATCTGGAGGAATGCCTTTCTTTTTCATCTCTTCAAAAAGGCTAATTGCAGCATCTATCATTCTATCCTTGCAAAGAGCATCTATAACACCGTTATAGATTCTTGTGTCAGGCTTGATGCTTCCTTGTTCCATTGCCCTTAGCAAATCGAAAGTTTTTTTTAGTATGGCCCCTTTTGCTAAGCCCATTCATGACTGTCAAATACGTGACTTCATCAGGCTCACAAGTATTCTCTCTCACCAACATTTTGAACAAGTTAATTGCACAATTGAACATTGGCCTCCACGTGTATGGACGGCTCATCTCAATGAACAACAATCCGGAAAGGTTAGGGGGCTGAGAAGCTCTTGCTTGATGCTTGTTGTCTACTTCGCGAGCCTTTATTGCCCTGTTCTATGACTTTTCTTGTCCGTCTATGAGGCTGTAAAAAGAGAGAAAGGGATGGTTATCTAGCGGGAGTCATTTCGGTTGTATGCCACGAGGTCCCTATGGACAAGGGGACGGGTGACTGAGTGTTATCACGAGCTAATTTCGCCACTGAATGTTCCATTTTCAGTTCCTTTCACTGCATTGGTGTAGCTGTAGACAATAAATTTGCGTCGAGAAAATAAAATCAAGATCGAAAAATATTACAACAATCGTAGTATTTTATTTCAAATATTTGATGTCTACAATAGCAATATTGGTCTTATAGTCGAAATGGTCACTGCATCTTTTTTCTATCATGCGACTCTAGGGTAATTGTGCTTTAGTGTAAATATAGGGCAGGGGCGGCCCAACGTATTTTGGGGCCTAAAATGTTTTAATTTTCTTTTATTATTTGAAGTCAAATTTTCTAGCTTTTTTAGATACAAAATTACTAATAATTTTCTTATAATCAATTTCTCCTAATAAGTCTTTCTCAATTGACAATATAGCTAACCCATTTAATCTCTCTTGAGACATTGTTGATCTTAGGTAAGATTTTATCAATTTTAATTTTGAAAAACTTCTTTCCGCTGAAGCAACCATTTGGAAAAGAATCAAGTCTCTTTATTTGATTGAGTATATCGATTAAACTATTATCTTCTACTTGTACTATTTCCCTTAATACTTTCAACTCAGAAAATAAATCTAAACCATCAATATCTGATTGATTATTATGCTTTACGAAAAATTCAAGATTAAGGCAATGTGTTTTTAAATTTCCATCATTTAGTGATCTTAGTTTCTTACCACTAAATAGAAAATCAAAAATATTTTCATATGCTTCAAATTGTTCAAATCTATTTTGAAGTGAAAAAATAATCTTGTCTACTATGTATAAAAAGTAAGCAACTCTAAACGACTCTTCAAAAGACTTTGAGATTTCATTATCAACATTCTCATCAATTTTTTTCTTCCTAGATATCACATGTTTCTTACGAAATTCGGGTTCGATATTCATTTCAAATGCAATTTCCTTGGCAGAAATCATAGCAGTTGCAAATCCTTCTTCTCTCTATTTGTTAAAAAAAATCAAACCTTTTAATTGATTTATGGCAACATCAATATACATATCTTTTTACTGCATACTTTTGCTAACTGAATTAACAACAAATAATATATCATACCAAATAATCATACCCAATAAAAATTTAAAATTTTCAAGTTCATATGTTACTAAGCAATTAGCTTCACTTTTAGTTTTTGGATCATCACTAGTTTCTACTAATTTCAATAAAGCATCTCTTATTTGTGGAGTTTGAAATCTTATTGCTTTAATACTTTCAATATAACTTTCCCAACGAGTTTGTGAGCATGATTTAAGAGTTAGACTAGGTACACTATCCTTTAATACTTTTTATCGCTTAGTAGAAGATGAAAATAGTGAATATATACGTTGTACCACTCCAAAAAATGATATACCTTTTGTATAAGAATTAGCCATATCACAAAGTAACAAATTTAGATTATGACAACCACATGATATATAAAATGATCTAAGATTTACATCAAGAAGTCTTTTTTGCACTCCTTGATGTTTTTCCTTCATATTGGACCCATTATCTTATCCTTGCCCTCTTAAATTATCAATATCAAGTCCAATATTTTTTATTTCATCTATAATAACTTCAAAAAGACCTTTTTTGCTTGTATCATCTGCTTTTAAAAATTCTAAAAAATATTCATTAATTTTTATTGGAGTTGTTGAAATATCCACACTCTGCAGTATAAAAGACATTTGTTCTTGATGACTTGTGTCTGGAGTGCAATCAAGTATGATCGAGAAATATTTTGCTTCTATAATTTTATTCTTAATTTCACTTGTCAATAAGTTTATCAATTCATTTTGTATTCTATGCCAAGGTAATGACTATGAATTTCATCATGCTTAATTCGTCGAATATGTTCCTGCATGACGGGGTCAAATTCTGCAATCATTTCAATTAAACTGAAAAAATTTCCATTATTCTCTTGATATATCTTTTCATTTTTTCCTCTAAATGCTAAATTATTTTTTCCAAGAGTTTTGATCACGGCAATAATTCTTGACAATACATTTTTCCAATGCTCTCTGATTATAGGCTTGTAGCTTCATGACATGGCGACAGAAGCCATGAATACATGAGATTGATGACTTTCTATCCATTCTGAAATAAGTGATGATTATAGGCTTGCTTAACATTGGTACCTTGATTGCATCATATTTGCTTCAGATTGATGATTTATTTGTTTATTTTTTAAGGGTCAACTCTTGCAACCTTTTTTTGTAGAGTTGACCCTAAAAAAAATTAAAGTCATTGCATCTATAGGAAAAAAAATGTACAATCGAAACTCCATAACTTTGGCTAAGAAAACTTTTATTCGGCTAAGAATAATTAGTTCTAGCCAAACTTTTTATAAATTTGACCCAAAAAAAGGAGAAATAGACAGATGAAAAAAAAAAAAGAAAAAGCCATAGCATCTAAAGACGAATAAAAGGAAATACACATTTAGTAATATATTATTTTGGCTAAAAAATTAATTTGCTAAAAATAATAGAGTTTCGGTCAATTTTTCTACCACTTGGTCTTAAAAAGAGAAATACACCGTTGAAACAAATAGTCATTGTATCTACGGAAGAAATAAAAATAAATACAAAGTTAAGATAAAATATGTATTATATATTTAGAAGAAACATAAACTTGGAACAAATAGGTCATTGTATATGACTACATGCCAATTAATGATTGCAAAATACATTTAGAACCTGAAATTTTGATTTTTACAGTCCCATGTGCCTAAAAGAGAGCTTATTCACACTTTTTATCACGTCAAGGCAATCAAACTGTTAGGTGAGATAATTAAGACTAGAGATAGTTCAGACGTGCACTGAATAAATACGTATTAAATTTAGGGGATTCCGATGTATTATGCGGTGATAAAATAGCTATTTTTAAGGCAGAATGACCTAACGACCCCCTAAACTTGCATTGATTTTCAAGCCGATTACTTAATTTATGAGATTTTCATTTTAATACCTCAACTCAATTCAATGAAACGAAATTAATAAACAGATATCCTTCTGCAGGAGAATTTGTCCTATCATGTTTTGCTGCGATCGCAAATCATACAATGCGATCGTGGTACACGTTCAAAGGAAAGGAATACATTCATTAAAAAATAAGCATTTATTGACTCGTGTTGTTTTTCTCAATAAATTTTAGGAAATAACACTATTTAGATAGTTGGTGTAACTAGTGGTGGAAAACGGACAAGACGGGTCGGATACGGTTCAAGTCAAAACGGGTAATACAAAAACAAGTAAAATATTCGACCTGAATCATATTTAATACGGATAAAAAACAGGTTAACTGGCGGATAAAACGGTTAACCGTATTATCCGTTCATGGCTTCACATTAGCCTCAACCTCTAATGTGAATTTGCTGCCATGTGCAAACATCTGTTCCTTTAAGGCACCATCCAGTGCTTAGGCACGCTAATTTGGAAGAATTCTATCATAGAATAGGGACTCCACTGGAACAAAAAGGATCCAAGATTTCAACAAGAAAAGTTATAAAGCTGCATTTGCTAAAAATTAAAATACTTCCCAACAGTTTGTAATGGTTCACATATTTATAACTAGAGCAAAACCAGTGAATCAAACTCTTTCTTTTGACACTAAAAGTAGCAGCAAATGAGCAACATACATTGAAATACACCAGCAAAATACGTCAAAATGTACCAGCAGAATATATTTTAACCACCGGCAAAATACTTATTAAGTGTTTACAAAGCAAAATGCACAAAAGTAGACCCTTAGGACATTGTAATAGCTTATCCAGTTGACAACAGTCATTTGAAAGACAATAAAAATGTTGTGGTAGCCGATGCAACTTGTGGCAGAAAGCGGAACTTTGACCAAGAACATCATGCTTGACCATGTATCTGAGTGTTCATCCAACATAATCTGCAGTTTCACAAAACACTGCTTTGCTTCTCGTCGGCAAAAACAGAGGAACCCTTAAATGGTGATACAACAGACTGGAGAAACCATGAAGCTGACCACAAATAGTACCTAAGAAATTTGAAGGATAGCTTCAATATCAGATATTACCATCAAACAAGAACTAGCAACAAGCATCACCCTTAATATCATGTTTTCCCTAATATGGTTCGCGCTATTATGGAGATTTGTTTGGGAAACTTGGAACCTCAAATAGCAAATTCTGAACATGATATTCAAACTGTCACCAAGTGCATCAATCAATTCACCAAACCATTGAGGGAAAACTAGTCTTGTACTGACTGTGATATCAAACAGAAGCAATATCTTGCTAGAAGTTATAATCTGACTTGTTTAGTTTTAGACAAACCAATCAAGAAAACAGGGAAAAGATATTTGATTATATCTCCTAACCACCTCATCTTTTCCTCTCTCTTTTTTCTTCTATTGCGCTGAAAATATGCCACATTTAAAGCTAATTCACAAAAGCATATTATGAATCAGGACATTTTCTTATGAGAAAAGCCGGGAACTGGACACATTTTAAGTCAGCCAAGTTGACAAAATGAAAAAATACAAACAAGCTAAGCGCAAGAGAATCAGGAAAAGGTCAAAAACGCATCACTTGATAATAGTATTAGACAAACAAAGAGGAATTGCAAAATGAAGTATATATACTAGTACGTACCAATAGTCAGCAGGTGCATCTTGCTTCCATATATATGTAGCTAGCTAGTTGTGTTTAGTATTAGGGGAAATCTGAAAATGTGCCCCAAACAATTACCTAGACAGAACTATTTATTATGCAATACAACAAATATGTTCCTTCAGCCTTGTTAGTCTAGGATTACCATGATATAAGGATAGATTATCTAATGCACATCCCACAGATGAACCATTGCGCAGCAGTATAGACTAAATCCTGGAGAAAATGAATGACTTAACCATACAGTAAAAGCTTTAATGGGAGCAGCAACTGAAACAACAAGCACACAAATGTAATATCCCAGAAATAGAGTGACTTGAATTGAGCCAAAAGAAGGGTGATATCATAAAGAAAAACCACCCTAATAAAGAAAGTATATGATGATGCAGCGATTTTAATCTTTATTCATGGCAAACTGAGAAAAACCAAAAGAGAGGGGAGCGAAAACACAAAACTCACCAGAAAGAATCACTTCAAAGCTTAGGTTCCCGGAAGGAGAAACAGCTTAAAGTCCCAAGCCGGATAAGGTTTTACCTCTAAGTTTCGCAAGATAAGGTTGAAGATCAACAACAATCTCATCTTCTTCATCAGACTCGGATCCATCATCAAGATCTTAAACAATTTAAGAAGAAAAAAATAAGATATTACAGCTTATTAGTTATTAAAAAAATAAAATAAATCAATCTAGAGAATATTAATTTACCTTCTCTTCCACAAACCCAATCCCTAGTACATAGTTTTGCCTCAGCATTGGCGAGAAGAATAGAACTTCGAAACCTTCCAATGACACGACCACCAATGCTAAACGTAGATTCAGAAGCTACTGTGGTGAGAGGAATACTCAAGACATCTCGTGCCATTAATGAGAGTTCTGGATATCTATGCATGTTATCCTTCCAAAAGCCAAGTACATCTAGATTCGGATTTGTTTTACGGACAAGAGTGGCTTCCTCCAAATATGTGTCTAGTTGTGTTTTACCTATACTTGACTCCAATTGACTCTCAAATTCATCAAACTCATCAAATGCATCCCTCATTTCATTGCTACCACTACTACAAGCATGATCCCCTGATAATGAGGTTGTAGTCGAAGGTATTAAGTACTCTTTGAACAACAATTGTAGGTTATGTTCAATAACCTTCACTTTTTCATTAGCAATCTCCTCGGGATGAAGCTTTGAAAAGCAAAACTTAACAAACTTCAATTTATATCGAGGGTCCAGGTCAATAGCTATAGATAAAATGACACTATACGACTCCCAATATTTCTTAAACTTCACCAACATCAAAGTGCCCCTCTCACTCATCACTGAATCTCCACTATTTTTTTGTTCTTCCAACAACATTTAAATTCTCCATACATTAGGAAGATACAAATTAGCCGTGGGATACTTACATCCAGAAAACAAAGTCGTAATGTCATAAAATAGTTTAAGAAACTTAGCTATAATCTCGACCCTTTTCCATTCATCTTTAGAAAGTTCGTGTCTAAAATCAATGTCAAGCAAGTTATAGTGAATATAAGCTTCCCGATATTGAAGAGCACTTTCAAGCATTTGATAAGTGGAATTCCACCGAATAAGCATATCTTGGCGTAGCTTCTTAGAACATTGTAGACCAAGATTACTCGGACACTCCACAAATTTCATTATTCTTATTTCTGAATTCTTGATATACTTAACACCTTCTCTAATTTTTGTAATAGTTGCATCAGCCTTCTCTAAGCCCGCCTTAACAATTAAGTTCAAAATGTGATTCCCACAACGGACATGAAGATACTTTCCCTCGCAAACTAGTGAACGCATCAAAGTAAAATGATTCTTTAAATTATTCACTACACCATTATTGCAAGTAGCATTATCCAAAGGGTAAAGATTTTCTTTTGGATTCCACATTCTTTAAGAAAGCTAATCAATAAGGGACCTAAAACCGCGCCTAAATGTGGAAGAGGAACATGACGAAAAATCAACACCCTCTTCTGAAGAACCCAATTTAAATCCACATAATGGGCCGTAACGCACATATACCCATTAGATGTTACTGAAGTCCACATGTCTAATGTTAAACATACTCTACTAGGAATAACTGCAAGCTCACTTTTCAAAAGTTCTTTTTCGCCTGCATACATATTCAAGAGATCTGACTTGGTTGTGTTTCTTGATATGTGCTTGACAACAGGATTTAAGTATAAATGAAGGTCCTTGATGCCTTTATGTTCTACAAAACTGAAAGCATAGTTATGCCTGACATTTTCTCTCAATAAATTTTTTGATCTATTGGTGCACTCTGTCCCTCTTTTGCATTATCCAATGGATGTTTTATCACCAAATGACGCTTCAAATTCGATGTTCCAAATTTAGAATCGTATATATAGTCTTTTCACAAAGCGTACATTTGACTTTAATCTTTCCATCACTATAAATACTAGGCTCTACTACCTTAACAAAAGAATCCCAAACGGTAGACGTTTGTCTTTTTGCTCGTTTTAGCGTAGTTGAAGAGCTTTGTTCACAAGAATCATCAATACCTTCCATTGACATCTCTACCTAAAGATGAAGTAAAAAGAATTCAATTGCATAATGATGAAAACAAACAGATGAATAGAATTCAATCACATAGTGATGAAAAAGAACAGAGAATAGAACTCTGAAGAAATTTCCCAATCTTTACATTTAACTCTAAAAGATGAAACTAATAACAAGTGTAGCAGGGTATTGGCCATATCTTACTGTACTAAAAGTAAGATCACCTTACCATAGAAAATGGACCCCAAAAAATATAAGAAAGTTGGTACCTTAACCAGAAACAACATTAGTTGTTGAACCAGTTGATTCTAAGATGTAATCAATGAATTATCAATTCCACAACATAAATCATTCATCTATTTAAAAATGAAAAGGAAATGGAAACTAGCCTGGAGCTCGATGTTTTGATTTGTTTGGATTTTACTTTTTTCTAGAGAACTGCGGCTATTCTCGTCAAAAAAGGAAGTAAAATAAAGCAATTGAATCAATATGGAAGAACGTTGGTACCTTTTGCACTGTTAATCTGTGACGAAATTCAATCCATGGAGCTTAGGGTAAACTGAAGTGAGAAAGTTTGGGAATTAGGGTAAAATTTGGGGGAGAGAGAGAGGGGGAAGGCAACTGAGCGTGAGAGAAAATGAGAAGGCGTGGGAATTAGGGTAAAGGGGGGGCGAAAATGCTTTTGGGGAGCTTTTGACTTTATTACCCATGGATAACCAGTGGTTACCCATTTAAAATATGGATAATATGGGTAATATCCGTATTTGATCCGTTTTGAAATGTTCATTATCCAACTCATATTTTAGCGGATAATATGAGTGGTTACTTATTTTATTTTATCCATTTTGCCACCCCTAGGTGTAACATATTAGTTTAAAACATACAAGATGTTATTATACATGCATGTTAATGATATAAACATATGCAATGCTTAAGTAAACATTCCTCACAAAAAAAGTTAAAACAATGTTATCCGAGTGTATGTTCACTCATAACAAATAACAAAGTTTCATTATCCCCAATTAGAAACTCTTTTTTTTATATAAGGTAAATTGTATTAATCAAAAGGGAGAGAACTCCCGTGTACACAAAGTATACCAAAGACGTAGAGAATTTACATCAGAACATGATTCTCTACAAAAGACGCCCAATCTTCTATACAAGTAGGGGCTAAGTGAGTGCACCAAAAAGCGATCAAAGATAACAGACTATTCTTAAGATGTGAAAAAGGAGACTCAATCTCCTCAAAAGCTCTCCTATTTTTCTCCCCCCATACTACCCACATGAGAGCTAACGGAGCGAATTTTCACGCCTTTTGCTTTCTTCTTCTACGAAAACCGCCCCAGCTATATAACATTTCCTTTACAGTGCTTGGCATCACCCATTGAACACCAAAGAGATTCAAGATTGCCCTCCACAAAGCAGAGGACACAGGGCAATGCAACATAAGGTGATCAACTTCTTCCCCTGAGCTTTTACACATGTAGCACCAATTAACAAGTGTAATTTCCCTCTTTCGAAGATTTTCAGCAGTCAAGATCACTCCCCTTGCCGCTAGCCATGCAAAAAAGCACACCTTCGTGGGCTCCCTAGGAATCCAGATCGAGGAGTATGGAAAAGTGGTCTCCTCTCTCACCAACATACTCTGGTAAAAGGACTTTACGGTGAACAAACCATCGCCACGCAAGCCCCATCTCCAAGAGTCGCAGGATGGCTGGAGCATGTCTTGCCCGTATAGCAGTGCCAACAAAACTTGAAGCTCCGCAATCTCCCAATCTTGTATGTTCCTCCGATATGAGAGGTCTCATACTACTAAGGAGACCCTCAAAGTATCCTCTCCACACCACCTATGATTCCAAAAGCTGATTCTCCTTCCATCTCCCACCCACCCTGTAAGTGATGTTGCCACTGAATACTTCCCAATTCTTCATGATACTCCTCCACATGCCACACCCGAAAGGTGTTGTGATCGCCTTGGTCCTCCAACCCCCTCCCGTTGAATCATACTTTTCTACTATGACCTCCCTCCATAGAGCATGCTCTTCTACCCCGAATCTCCACAGCTACTTTTCCATTAAAGCTCTGTTAAATACCCTAAGATCTTTCACTCCAAGTCCACCCCACTTCTTTGGGGAAGTGACTGTTTGCCAATTCACTAGATGAAACTTTCTAATTCCATCCGCCGCATCCCATAGAAAGTTCCTTTGAAGTCGCTCCAGTTTTTCTGTGATGCTCACCGGTGCTTGCAACAGGGATAAGTAATAGGTTGTCATACTCGATAAAGTGCTTTTGATAAGCACTTCCTTACCTCCTTTTGACAAATACCGTTTTTGCCACCCTGCTAATCTTTTTTCAACCCGCTCAATCACTGGATTCCAAACCGTAGTATCCTTATATGAAGCGCCCAAAGGGAGGCCCAGGTAAATAGTGGGAAGGGAACCCACCTTGCATCTGAGAACACCAGACAAGGCATCAATATTAGTAACCTCACCTACCGGGAAAATCTCACACTTGCCGATGTTGATTTTGAGTCCTGATACTAACTGAAACCACTGCAGGACCTGCTTCAGGTAGGTCAACTGATCCATATCGGCATCACAGAAAACCAGTGTGTCATCCGCAAAAAGCAAATGTGAGACTCTTCGGGCACTGAGCACCCCAATCGGAGCTGAGAATCCTCTCAAGAAACCT